AATTGCCAGTAACAAAAATGAAAAGGGTGAACTCATCACCAATGAAGAGGAAATAAAAACAATAATTAGGAACTATTTTGCCCAATTGTATTCTAATAAATTTGACAATCTTAGTGAAATGGATGAATATTTACAAAAACATAATTCACCCAGATTAACAGAAGAGGAAGTAAAATACTTAAATAACGAATCTCAGAAAAAGAAGTTGAACAAGCTATCAATGAACTCCCTAGGAAAAAATCTCCAGGGCCAGATGGATTTACAAATGAATTCTATCAAACATGTAGAGAATAATTAATTCCAATACTATATAGACAATGTGGAAGAATAGGCAAAAGAGTCCTACCAAATTGTTTTTATGATACAGATATGGTACTGATACCTAAACTGGGAAGAATCAAAACAGAGAAAGAAAATTATAGACTTATTTCCCTAATGAATATAGATGCAAGAATTTTAAATAAAATATTAGCAAAAAGATTACAGAAATATACTAATATACTATGACCAAGTAGGATTTATATCAGGAATACCAGGGCTGGTTTAATATTAGGAAAACTATCAGGATAATTGATCACAACAACAAAACTAACAGAAACCATATGATTATCTCAGTAAATGCAGAAAAAGCTTTTGACAAAATGCAACACCCATTCCTCTTAAAAACACTAGAGCATAGGAATAAATGGAGTCTTCCTTAAAATGATAAGTAGCATCTACCTAAAACCACCAGCAAGCATTATGTAATGAGGGTAAGCTAGAAGCATTTCTAGTAAGAACGGGGATGAAACAAGGATGTCCATTATAACCACTGTTATTCAATATGGTACTAGAAACAATCTCTTTAGCAATAAGAGAAGAAAAAGAAATTGAAAGAATTCGAATAGGCGAAGAAGAAACTAAGCTATCTTTGCAGATGATATGATGATATACTTAGAGAAAAAAGTAAAAAACTACTTCAAATAATAAAACAAAATTGCAGGATACAAAATAAACCCACAAAAATCATCAGCATTTCTATATATTACTAACAAAGTCCAACAGCAAGAGATAGAGAAATTCCATTTAAAGTTACTATAGACAATATAAAATATTTGGGAGTCTACCTGCCAAAACAAACTGAGAAACTATATGAACACAATTACAAAATACTTTTTACACAAATAAAGTCAGATCTAAATAATTGGAAAAACATCAGTCGCTCATGGGTAGGCCCAGCTAATATAATAAAAATGACACTTCTACCTAAGTTAATTTACTTATTCAGTGCCATACCAATCAAACTACCAAAAAAAGTATTATAGGAGCTAAAAAAAAAAACAAGATTCATTTGGAATAATAAAAGGTCCAGAATTTCAAGGGAACTAATGAAATGCAGGGGAAGGTGGCCTAGCTGTTTCACATCTTAAATTGTATTATAAAGCAGCAATCATCAAAACTACTTGGTACTGGCTAAGAAATAGAGTGGTGGATAAGTGGAATAAGTTAAGTATGCAAGACACAGTAGTCAATGACTATAGTAATCTACTGTTTGATAAACCCAAAGACCCCAGCTTCTGGGATAAGAACTCACTATTTGACAAAAACTGCTGGGAAAACTGGAAAATAGTATGGCAGAAACTGGGCATAGACCAAAATCTTACACCATATACCAAAATAAAGTCAAAATAAATACATGATTTAGATATAAAGGCTGATACAATAAGCAAACTGGGAGAGCAAATAGTTCACCTGTCAGATTTATGAAGAACAGAAGATTTTATGACCAAACAAGAGATAGAGAACATTATGAAATGCAAAATGGATAATTTTGATTACATTAAATTGAAAAGCTTTTGCACAAAGCCAATACAACCAAGATTAGAAGAGAAGCAGAAAATTGGGAAAGAATTTCTAAAATATATAGAGAACTGAGTCAAATTTATAAGAATACAAGTCATTCCCCCATTTGATAAATGGTCAAAGGATATGAGCAGGCAATTTTCAGATGAAGAAATTAAAGCTGTCTATAATCATATGAAAAAATGCTGTAACTCAACTGTTGATTAGAGAAATGCAAATCAAAACAACTCTGAGGTACCACATCACACCTGTCAGATTGGTTAATATGACAAAACAGGAAAATGATAAATGCTGGAGAAGATACAGGAAAAATGGAACACTGACGTATTGTTGGTGGAATTGTGAACTGATAAAACCATTCTGTAGAGCAATTTGGAACTATGCCCAAGGGGCTATTAAAATGTGCAAATCCTTTGACCCAGCAATACCACTTCTAGGGCTGTATCCCAAAGAGATCACACAAATGGGAAAAGGACCCACATGTACAAAAATATTTACAGCAGCTCCTTCTGTGCTGGCCAAGAATTGGAAATTGAGGAGATGCCCATCAGTTGGGGAATGGCTGAACAAGTTGTGGTATATGAATGTAATGGAATGCTATTGTGCTCTAAGAAATGATAAGCAGGTGGACTTCAGAAAAACCTGGAAAATATGAACTGATGCTGGGTGAAGTGAGCAGAACCAGGAGAACATTGTACACAGTGACAGTCATGTTGTGAAACGACTAACTTTGATAGACTTAGCTCTTCTCAGCATTGCAAGGATCTAAGACAACTCCGAAAGACTCATGATGGAAAATGTCATCCACATCCAGAGAAAGAACTATGGAATATGAATGCAGATCAAAGCATACTATTTGCTCTTTTTGTTATATTTTGTTTCTTCTTTCTTGTGGTTACTCCTATTCATTCTAATTCTTTTTTACAACACTAATGTAAATATGTTTAATAAGAATGTATATGTAGAGTCTATATCAGATTGCATGCTGTCTTGGGGCAAAGGAAGGAGGCAGAGAAAATTTAAAACTCAAAAGCTTTCGGAAGTGAATGTTGAAAACTAAGAATCAATAGTTTAAAATTTTTTTTTAAATACTTAGAGAAGAGCTGAGGTAGCACTAATCCCACTTCCTCATAATTGTGTGATCTAATCAAAATATTTTGCCATGTTATAGAAGTTGCTTACTCCTTTTATGAAAGCAGGGCACAGCTAGAATTGGTACTCATTCACCAACATGTGTTTCCTTGGTGTATTGATAAATTCTTTTTGTTTTACTCTCCAAGTTTGCCTAAATTGATTAGGGTGAGTCCCTAATCTGATATCTTTGAACAATATTATCCTTTTTTTTATGAGTAAATGACTCTATATTATTTATTTACCTAGACAATGACCCATTTGTAGTTTATCAAAAGTGGTGCTATCTTTCCCTTTCAATGAATCATGGATCAATTTAAAAATTCATTCCAGAGATTTTTTTTTCTTTGGCAGAGGGGAGGTTATTTTTTGCCCTTTTGTATTGACAAGTGATAAACCCAGCAGGAATGCTGGTAGCTCCAACATTCCCATATTCAACAGCCCTCTTAGTCTTAGATCCAAAATAATGGGGAACTTGCTGTGCTAGATTGAAAATGGCTTATTCCCGCACCAGCTTGGGCCTTGCTGATTGAGAGCACACTACAGCTAGACTTTGGCAGAAACCCACAATATAATCTTCCTGGCATGCATAGGCATGCACTACCATATGCCTCCCTCCACTGCCTGGGAATAATAATCATCAGTATTACCAGTACTTCTGGAAAAGCTGCGTTCTTCAAACCGTTTAACGTAATGCATATGTGCTATGTCCCTTTGGCAGGTCACAGGTTGTGCAGGCCTACCTATCATCCATTGGTTTCACCTTTAGACACCACCCCCAGCTCCTGCCCTTCTACTCCTGCTGTTGCTTCATCCTCCAAAATGGAACACCAGGCACATTGCTGGAAAGGAACTAAAGCCATTTGGCTCTGTACTCTTCTGGCTATTTTCCTCTCCTCTAGTCTGTCTCTGCCTGATTCATTGCTTCTAGAAAGGATGCCTGTTGTTCTACCCACCATCTTTATGACCTGCCAGACTTAAACTTAGTCCCTTGGCCACAACTCCCTATATATGTTTATTAGAATGCAATTCTCCATTAGAATGTAATCTTGGGAACAGGGGCCAAATTCATGCTTCCAGCACTTAACACTTGGTAAATGCTTTTCATTCACTGTTTAACCCTAAGATTGGTATGAGCTCATGTGCAAAGTCAGCCACTGGGGCATAATTCAGAATGAGTGACTCCCGTGTTTTAACCTTGCTTTATCTTTTGGGAATAATGCTTAGCCAGCTAGCAGGAAAAAGCAGTCTATTTAGGACTAACCTCATCTCAAGATAATCCCATTTCCCAATGATGTGGTAATAGAGGAGGAGCTGAGGTGACACTAATCCTACCTCCCACCTAATTCCACCTTGAAAAGTCTACCAATCAGGACTGTCTTACCTAAGAGGTAAATTGTTTTGCTTGTGTCTATAAAAGCAACTTCCAGTTTGAATTTAGGTAGCTAGGCAGCACTCCAACTCCAAGTTGCTTTGGTGTGCTAAGTGAATTCCTTTTGTCTTATTTCCTGAGTTTGCCTTTAATTGGGTAAGGCCCAAACCAGGAGTTTCTTTTAACCCTTATTCTCTAGTAAACTGTAGCAAGCCTGGGAAAGAATTCCTCCAACCCTTTCACCTCTCACTCTGGAAATACAATACAATACAATCAATACAACAACCACTGCTTATGGAAGGATCATGAGTTAGTTAATTCATCAATCCCAGTGATTTCACTCTTTAGTGTCTCCCTCTATTTGATGGGAGACTATATTTTGTATTTGTTTCACCTGCACTTGGAATAGAGCCTGGCACTCAGTAAGCACTTAAATGCTGTTTTTTTCCTTCCTTCCTCCCGTCATTCAAGGGAGAATGGTCAAAAATGCACCTCTTCAAAAAAGTCTTCAGTCTTATCTCCTTGGAAAAAATTTCCTTTTCTCTTGTCTTAGCATCCTTTTCCCACATATATCATGAATAATAAACATCAACACAAGCATGATTTTTATAGGAGTCTTGCACAGTTCTCAGTAAAAGGAAAGCATTAGTCAACATTGATAATTAACCTGAACTTTATGAAGTGACCACAGGGATAAACTGCCATCTTGTGGCTACAGACACTGAATTTCGACAATTGAACAATAAACGACAGATACAGTGCCTTCTTTACATTTGTTCTAAATGTACAGAGACATACAACTAGCATATTTCATTTGTTAGGAAATGGGGGGGGCTTGATTTGATAGTTTCATATTAAATTATGTTCTTTTTAGCTTCAGGGAATCAAGAGTCCTTCAGTCTGGAACAATAACATTGCTGTTTCTCCTGTTAGAAAAACAGGGCTGTTCTCAAAGGCTTCAGTCTAAAGGAACGTGGCTTCAGTGAGCAGGTAGCTGCAGAAAGGACAAGACAATAAAGGTCAGAATTGCAGAATCTCAAGGTTGGAAAGTACATGCAAGGCTATCGAATTCAACCAGTATTTGGAACATTCTCTATAACATACCAAAAAAAAGGTCATCTAATTTTTGAAGACCTATGATGAAGGCCCATTATCCATTACTTTAATAGCAAATAAGGCTTCTCTATCAAGTCTAAATCTGCCTTTAGAATGACATTCACTAAAAAAAAAAAATGATGATTTTATTAGAATGCAGGCTCAGTAGGTCAACAATGTGATAATGACAGTCAACAAGCTAACTTTTTAAAGTCAGTATTTAAAGTAATTGCATTAAAGAGCACCAGGATCAGAGATGATAGTCTTGCTGTACCCTACCTTGGTGAGATTATGTCCAGAGTACTGTGTCTAGTATTGTGCAGTAGTGGAAGGGGGAAAGAGGCAAAAGCGTAAGGAGGGAAATATTGGGAATACATGAGGAAGGGTAAAAGAAGAGAAGTCCAATAGAGGAAGGCAGGGAATATGGCCAGCTCCCAAGTAGATAAGCCAATAGAGACCCGTAAAAGTAGCCATATGTGTTAAAAATTCCAAAGGGTCAGAACACAATTACGAAGTTTTATATAATATGACGGAAAATGAAATTCCCAGTGAAAAAGAGAATCCTCAGAGAATTCTACAAAACATGGAAAGAGAAAAGCAAAAGTGGTTCAAGAGAAATACAATGATTAAAAGAAGCTAACAGGAATAAAACTAGGTCACAAATCGGAGTTCTCAATGATTAATCATTAATCAATGGTATGAAAAATTTTTTTAAAAATGGAGAATCTATCCAAAGTACAGAATCTGATAAGAGTTGACAGATTTAGAACTCAAAAATAGGATAAAAAAATTAAGCAAAAGAGAAGCAAAAGGCAAGAACTTTAATAAAAATACATAAATTCCACATAAGCCAATGTGACACACAGGATGGGATAACTTGAGAAGCATAGGTCTCCCTGAATCCTAAATTTCATGATGTATGAAATATTAAAAAAACCTAAAACTGCCCACAAATCTTTCGAATAAATTGAATAAATCTATGGATTGTCACCAGAAAAAATATACAAATACAATATGGAGAAAGGAAATAAATATTTATTAAGCTATATTATGTGCTAGATAATATACTAAGGACTTTCATTTTATCTTCACAACAACCCTGGGAAGTGTTAGCCACATTTTGCGGATGAGAAAACTGAGGCAGACAACAGTTAAGTGACTTGCTCAAGTTCACGCAATTATTTAGTCTCTAAGGCTAGATTTTAACTCAAGCTTTATCCACTGCACCACATAGCTGCCTCTAATAACAAGTAACAAATTTTTATTTTATTTTATTTTTTTTATTTTTAGGCAATTGGGGTTAAGGGACTTGCCCAGGGTCACACAGCTAGTAAGTGTCAAGTGTTTGGTCTGAGGCCAGATTTGAACTCAGATTTGAAGCCAGAACTGACTTCAGGGCCAGTGCTCTATCCACTGCACCACCTAGCTGCCCCCACAAGTAACAAATTTTGTAAGCTGTCAGAAAGACCTTCACCTATGAAGTGAAGCCAATTCAAACAACCTGGGATTTCAATACAGTGATGATAAATAAAAGAATGGAATATGTATATTCCAAAAAGCAAAGAAGTTGAAGTTACAACTCAGAATCATATATCTTGTAAAGCTGGACCTAATCATCAATAATAACAAAATTCAACAACAAAAAAAAAAAAACATCTGAGCCATTGCCACAAAAATACAAACCTAAGAGGGAGAAGAAACACTCCATGTAAGAGAAACACAAGAAAGGTTGATGAATAAAATTACTTTTTAAATAAAAAAAGCTAAATAATGAAATAAATTCTTTCATGGGCAATATATTTAAAGGAGCTAAACTGCAGGGTAAAAGAAAGACTAAAGGGGTAGTCAGGACTTGAGTTCAAATCCGTCCTCGACACTTAGTCTGGGCAGTCACTTAACCGCAACTGCCTAAAAAAAAAAAAAAGACTAAAGGCCAAAAAAAATAGGACCTGGAGCGGCTAAAGATTTAAGGAAAACTTAAGGAGTTCAAGAAGGACTTGAGAAGAAGGAGAAATAAATAAGTCCATGATCTGGGAAAGAGAATTCAGGGAAGTTTAGAATCAGAAAGACATAAAGAGGACAAAATAAAGAAAAAAAGAGTGGCGAAGGATGCTGCAAAAGAATCTTACCTGAAACAAAAAGTTTTAGAGTGAATGAAGGGAATATTTTCATCTGTACAGTTAGCTGGAACAAAAGAGTCAAAGGAGAAGAAGAAACAGAAAAAGCAAAAATGAACAATAAATGGAAATGGGAACATGTGGGAGAAACTATGGGAACAGACTAGTAAGTAAAGCAGTAAGCAAAACTAACTGTAGGGACAAAGAGCTGATTTAAAATAGGAAGTGGATAAAATCAATACAAAATAAGTATATGAAGAAAACAGCTTCAGAATCATAATCATAAAATGTCAAGTTAAAGTCTAAAAGCCAACAAAATGAAAGTGAGTAGCAGAATGGATGAGAAAATCTAACCATTTGCTGCATAAAGGAAGCACATTTAACTAGGGGGAAAATTAGGTCTTTATTGATTGCAGAAAAGTAGGACTTGCAAGTCAAGCAATTTTAGATATAGACAAAGTAAAAATTTACAACATGAGAAGAGAGATAAGCACGGAAACTACATTATACTTCAAGGTATCTTAACCAATAAAACTATATCCATACTAAGTCTGTATGAAAATTAATTGTAACAATATAATTGTTCCTCACTCATAGCTGGACAAATCTAAGAAAGACAAACAAAAAAGAAATACAGAATTGTATGATCTGTTGAAGAAGTTAGATTTGAAAGATTTAAGGCACTTTCTACATGAAAATATTAAAGAATATACATATTTCTTAACAAAGGAACATAGCATCTTCACAAAAAATTGACCAAAGAAATTATAACCAAATGTAAAAAAAAAGCAGAAATACTAAACATATCCTTTACAAGTCATAATTCAATAAAAATAATAATTAACACAGGGAATACAGACAAAATATAGAGAGCCAATAATGACATCTTGAAAAATAAGTCAGAAAAAAATCATAGAAATAAAATTTTAATTCTGAAAACATGACAAAAATAAGGGATTAATGAACCAAATATTCACTTTTTTAAAACTACACAATCAACAAATAAAGATAGACAAAATAGAGAATGTTGAAAATCAGGGTAATAAATAAATAAAACTAAAAACTGTCTTTGAAGAGACCAGTGAAACTGTTAAACTGAGCAAAAACAGCTAGAAACCAAACTGTCAAAATAAAACGGTGACATTACAAAAGAAAAATTAAAAAGAAATTTCAGAATCTACCATGTAAAAATACATGCTATCAAAACAAAAGATTTAAAAGAGATGATTAAATGCAAAAATATAAAATAGTCTAACAGAAAAAAAGAAATCTCAAATTAGAAAAAATTCAATCTCAGAAAATAAAATTGAATAAGCCATAAAAGACCTATCAAAAAGAAAACAAAATTCTGATCCAGATGGATAAATCCATATATGAATTATTCCAAATGTTTAAAGAATTAAAGATAAACATATTCTAAAATGTGAAAAAGAAAATAAACTTTTTATGACATAAATGTGGTCCTAACATCTTAATTAGAGAGAGGTAAATCAAAGAAAGAACTATAGGTTAACATTACTAATAAATACTGATGCAAAAATTTTAAATAAGATTCTGGCAAAAATGAACACAATATAAAAAATTCAATTTAATATAAGTGAATATTTTTCAAAATAATTTTAGAAGAAGAAAAATAGGCATCTACTATCAAGAACAGGTGACATACAAAACAAGGATAATTTGAAAATTATCAGAATACCTGAAAACCATGACCACTCAACCTTCCTCCCAAAAGTCATATAACTTACTCTTTTTCTAGTAAGAACAGACATCATCCTACAGTATTTTATGCTTGTTTTTCTAGCTAAGCTGAGTAGTAAACCTGGAATCTGGAATGTTTTCAGCAACTCTGATGTGACATGAGTCACATTAGAAACTGATTTTTGGCAATATTACATGTATTACTAATAATATGCTTTATATTATCCCTATCCATTATACAGTCATCTCAAGAAACACACTTCAGGGGCAGCTAGGTGGCGCAGTGGATAGAGCACCGTGGATTCAGGAGGACCTGAGTTCAAATCTGGCCTCAGACACGTCTCACTTACTAGCTGTGTGACCCCGGGCAAGTCACTTAACCCCACTGCCTAGCCCCCCACCCCCCCACCCAAAAAAAGGAAACATACTTCGGGCCATGTATAAATTGAACATTTTAAGCAAAATTGTGCATTGTTTTATATTAATTTTTTATGAAGGCAAACATTGTGGCATGAGCCTTGGAGTTACCTTGGAGATTAGCTGTGGTTTGGGTACTTTCAAAAGATCACACAGGTAGTTCCGCTGTGCTCTTACAAAGTGTAATTCAGTGTCCCTGAAAGGAGAAGTGAGAAAGAAACCATCAGACTCTGAAGGGAAACCAAATGAAACATCTGAAACAAGACTACTGACTACTTAATATAAAAAAGTACCTCGGTTTATTATTGTTTCTGATTTACTGGCCACCCCCACCCCCCTTTACTAATAAATATGAAAAGGTATTTTTCTTTTCAAAATTATAGGATATACAGAAGAAAAATATTTAGATTGTATGGTAGTGGAAGGAGACAAGAAAGAAAAAGAAAGTTCAAAAATCCTCTTTTTGTGTTAGAAGAGATGCAAGTTCTTTATAGCCTAATCATTCCTTAGAGTAAATGGCAGTGACTGTCTGCTTGTACAGCCTGGAGTTAGGAAGATCTCAGTTCAAACTCAGCCTCAGGAATTTACTGGTTGTGTGAATTTACTGAGCCTGTGTGAATTTTGTCTGCCATAGCTTCCTCATCTATAAAATGGGGATAATAATAGCACCTACTTCTCAGAGTTGCTGTGGAGATAAAATGAGATGTTTGGAAAAGTGTTTTAGAAACTTTAAAGTGCCATTTAAATTCTAGTTATTATTTTGATTATTACAAGTAGATAAATATCAGAATGTTTGGTTTAAATTATGAGTACCTTGAAAGCAAGGCCTAATCTTGTTTTTTATTTTTTCCCCATAGTGCTAGTTTTTTATTCACTGGGCTAGTGTGTAATTTGGCTAGATGATCACTTAGGTCCCTTTTTCAGCTCAGAAATATCCATATCATGTCAATAGAATCTTTTTGATTTTCCAAATGTTTCCTATATGCAAGTTTTATTTCAATATGAAGTTCTTTATTTGGAATCTATGTGAATTCATTCAGGACTTAATTTCTGAAAGAACTGTTGTTTAAAAGGGCACCAAAGCCAAAGTCTCCACGTTGAATTACATAACATTTATGAAAAAAGAGACCACCTTCAATTTACAGAGCACAAAACTAAGGCCCAGAGAGGAGAAATGTGTTAAGTGAAGTGTTGTATCAGCCACATAAGCTCCTACGAAATCTAGATTTCCCAGCTTTAAAAAGAGGCTAACATTTTGAGAGAGTGTCCTACAAGAGCACTCTATTGAGAGGGGAATAGGGGTACAGGCAGGTACATTAAAGAGAGGCAGCCAATCCTAAGAAAAGGACAATGCTATTCTGAAGTGAATATAATTGTGAGCAGGTAAAGACAGGCACTGTTCACTGATATGCTTACGGAGAGAGCAATCTTCTTCCCCAGAACTTGCCTGACTGGCTATAGATCTTATTCCCTGGGAGCTAATGGGAACTGGTGAATTTATCCATTCTCTCTTTCCTTTCCTTCTCAGGCATTTTCACTGCCTGACCAACTTTTCTGAAGTTTTCTGTTCTTTGAAACTGTGATTGCTTGCTGTCTGTACTCTGATGATGGATTTGAGTTTAATGTATTTCTATACCACATTTGTGTGTCTGTGTGATTGTGTTTAATTTTTCTTTATCTAGTTCAGGTAAAAGTGAGGTTTATGACATACTCATATGTATGCCTTGTTCCAAGATTAGATAATAGTCATCAAATGCAACTCTGTTATGTGATGGTGACCTCCTTTTCATTCCTCTCCTTTTTTTCCCAGTATAGTAACTTATCCCTCACATTTTTATTTTCTGACACAATCAAAACAAAACAAAACCACCTCTAGGCTGTTTGCCATATTTGCCTTTATCTATAGCACCCTTGAAGATATTAGGGTTCTGAGAAAACTGTTTTCTTCCTATTACCAGGTAAAAATTCCTCCCATAGTCCATTTCAACTGATCAAATAGTATGCACCTTTCTATGTTTCTTTTTCTTGTGTTTCTATTTCAAAGTGTCTACTCAGTTCTGGTCTTTTCACCAGGAAAGACTGGAAAACCTACATTTTATTAAAGGTCCATTTTTCCCCATTTTAAATCTCATTTCATTTCTTTTTGTACTACTCTTATAATACTTATAATATTTATAATACTTATGATCAATACAGTATTTTTTCTCTCTCTAAAGTTCTACGTGGACTTCTTGTGGGGTTATTCTCTTCTTTAGCTATGGTCCCAAATTATCATCTGCCCATTGGACATTTCAAACTAGATGTCCCACAGGCATCTCAAACTCACAAGGTCCAAAACAGAATTCATTATTTCTTCTTTAAATGCCGCCCCTCTTCTTAACTTTCCTATTATTGAAAAGGACACCAACATTCTCTCAGTTATACCCACATTCAAAACCTCAATAATTACCTACCTCAAAACTTGAGCTGCTTACTTCACTCACCCATATTGCTAATTATTTACCATATCCTATTTCTACCTTCACAGCATCTCTTGCATTGCTCCCATTCTCACTACACACGCCATACTTGCCTTAGTTCTGGCCCTTATCAGCTTATCTGGACTGCCACAATATCCTTCTTATTGGACTCCCTGCCTCAGAGCTATCCTCAATCCATCACCTGCACAGTTGCAAGTGATTTTCCTGACTATGCCACTCTCCTACTCAACAAATTCTAATGGTTCCCTATTACCTCTGAGATCAAATACAAACTTCTCTGGCATTTAAAACTCTTACAGCTTCATTCCTTACTATCGTCCCAGGCTTCTTACATTTTACTCCCCTCTACACATTCTATGGTTATGCCATATTGACCCATTTGCTGTTCCTTACACACAATTCTCTATGTCCCATCTCTATGTCTTTGTAATGGCTATCCGCCATGCATGAAATGTTCCCCTCAGTTCCAAACATTGTATGGTATTGAAGAGGTAAAAGCCTCACTAAACCCTCTAATTGTTCCTTACCAGCTAATTCAATGTTACTACAATTCTGCTACAGAACTTTCACTTCCCAAAAAGTGAATCACAATGAAAATAGAAGGTAGAGTTCTATCCATTAAAAAACCCAGTAAGATAGGAAATATTCTAGGACAGTGGTGGAGAACTGCAGCCTCAAGGCCAAATGTGGCCTTACAGGTCCTCAAGTGCGGCCCTTTGACTGAATCCAAACTTCACAAAACAAATCCCCTTAATAAAAGGATTTATTCTGTAAAACTTGGACTCAGTCAAAAGGGTGCATGTTCCCTACCCCTCTTCTAGGACATACTATCCATTAGGAATGGGATACAGAATACTAAATCATTTTCTTCTAAATATTAGCTTGGAAAGACAATTTCTACATTTATCAAAAACCAGGGTTGTGGAGGAAAAAATAATTCTAAAGCTCTTCTCTTATGTTTCAACCTTCTAACCTGAATCTTCAGCGTTGTCAAACCCTGAGAGTTCCATTTTGTGTCTCATGGAGATTTCTGAAGAAGCTGTCCCTTTTTTTGGTTTGGTTAGGAAACCCAAGGTACTTCAGAGACATCATGGACAAAAGAGAAAGATTTTATTGGATCTATGTGGCCATTCTACAGTTCATGAGTTTCTATGCAAAGAACTAAGATCCTAACAATATTTTGGCTTGGGACCATAGGAACTCACAGGATGATGAATTAGGCATCTAGGTGGCACTGTGGATAGAGGTCTGGAACTGGAGTCAGAAAGACCTGAATTCCAATTTGGCCTCGGATATTTACTAGTTATCTAATTCTGGGCAAATCACTTAATCTCTGACTGGGGATGATAATATCTACTTCACAGTGTTGTGAGGTTCAAAGGAGAAAATATCTGTAAAGTGCACGACACATTATAATGTGCACTTAATGTTTGTTCCCTTTCTTTTTTCCTATGTGCCATTTCTCCACCTTTTATAACAAAGAATAAGAAGCAGTTCCCCAGCTTGTTTGGAAACTATAAGTGGTTTCCCAGTAGCCTTATTTCTGATAATGAATTAACTTACCACGCAGTGTCACTGAGTATAGTCATAACTTCATCAAAGATATCTGGATCAACAATGTCACTATAGGTTAACACCATTTCATAAATTTGACTGGCAGTTGTCTTCCTTATCTAGGGAAGAAAGTTGAGTGTATTAGTTGTAGACAAATGTACTAAACTACCTCACCACTATAGATACTTGATGAGATCTATTTCTATTTCTGTGTTCATAAACATAGCTAGTTATAAACAATGTGCACAAAATCTACCACTGACAGTGGTCAGGTTCCTACCTCACTTAGGATAGCCATGTATACAATTACATATGAGCATTTGTACTTACAGATAATCTGATGGTAGTCCTTTCTCCTTCCAACTTGTCCCCAACATGGGACAGCTAACAAGCCCAAAGAGGCATTCAGAACTGAGCTAATAGCAGTCTCTCACAACTACCACCAACACTTGGTCATGCAGAATCCAGCTAGTAGTATACCTACCTACCTCCATGGGCATAGAGACAGATCAGTGTAATAATTAGCTAGGGGATGATTGGGGGTGGAAGGGATGGTGTCTTCTCATTAACTTCTCACAAGTCTCAATCCCCTGATTACCATTAGCCAGTATCTCAGACTGGGTGTTGGTGGAAAGGCTGAGAATATCCAATTTAGCCTGAGAAGCTGATGCTTCTAAGTGGGAAATCCAGAATACTGCCAAGTTGAAAGGCATCACTATATAAACTGAGCATATCTGTCTTCTCCCAACAATCCTTATGAGCAAGGAAAGAGTTGTCGTGTTGTTGTTTGTAATCATAGCAAAAACCGGAGAATAATCAAGTATGTATGGACTGATCTCATAGTGTGAGCAAATGATAGCTGGATCTTATGCTGTGAAAAGTTCACACTTACCATAGAGCAGATCTAGTGGAAAGAAAGGAACTTAAGGAGCCCAATTTATCAAATGAACATTATTCCTTTCCATCTACAGTTTAGTCATACCACCCTACTTGCTTTTACTCACATAAGATGTTCCATAACCTGTTTCTGTGCCTTTACACTGGCTGGAATGCTCTCCCTACCAATATCAACCTTGTAGAGTTCCTAGCTTTTTAAAAAAATTTAGTTCACACACATGTTCTAAATGTTTTATGGTCTACACATCTGCTAATGCCTTCCCCTCTAAAGCTACCCTCTATCTACTCTATATTTATGCTGAAGGTATAGATTTATATACAAGTAGTAGGAGGCCTGGTGCAGGAGTAGCGTGCCTGGCATTGCATGGCTCCTCTCCATGTGCACATGAACTGAAGTGAAGTGAACCAGGATAACATTGTACACAGTAACTGCAAAACTGAACAACAATATTGTGAATGACTTGGCTGGTCTTAGCAATATAATGACCTAAGACAATTTGACAGGACTCATGACGAAACATGCAATATGCCTCCAGAGATCCAGACAAATGATGTTGTCTGAATACAGATTGAAGCATATTATTTTTCACTTTTTTCTTTTCTTTTTTTTCTGAGTCTTCTTGCACAAAATGACTAATATGGAAATGTTTTACATGATTGCACACGTATAACCTATATCAGATTGCTTAATGTCTCAAAGAAAAGGAAGGGGAGGGAAGGAGGAATAAAGTTTGGAACTCAAAACTTTTTTTTTTTTTTTGGTTAGGCAATGAGGTTAAGTGACTTGCCCAGGGTCACACAGCTAGTATGTGTTATGTGTCTGAGGCTGGATTTGAACTCAGGTCTTCCTGAATCCAGGGCCAGTGCTCTATCCACTGCGCCACCTAGCTGCCCCCTCAAAACTTTTTAAAAAATGTTAAAAATTGTTGTTACGTGTAATTGTGGGGAAAATAAAATATTATTTAAAAATTTTTAAAAAGTCAACAGCTGGATAAAGAAGGCACACACACACACACACACACACAAACCCTGAAGAGGATAACACCTTAAAAAAAGAATAGGCCAAATAAAAAGGCACAAAAATACAACGAAGAGAATTCCTTAAAATGTAGAATTGGCCAAATGGGAAAAGAGGTACAAAATTTTGCTGAAGAACTCCTTAAGTAGAATTGGCCAAATGGGAAAGAAGGTACGAAAGCTCACTGAAGAAAATCATTCGTTAAAGAGTGGAATTAGGCAAGTGGAAGCTAATAGCTCCACGAGACATCAAAAAACTAAAACCAAATCAAAAGAATGAAAAAAATTGAATAAAATGTGAAAACTCTCATTGGAAAAAAAACTGACCTGAAAAACAGATCAAGGAGAGATAACTGTAGAATTAGACTACCTGAAAGCCATTATTTAAAAAAAAAATAAAGCCTGGACATCATATTTAAATAAATCATCAAGAAAATTACCCTGATATCCTAAAACCTGAGAGTAAAATAGAAATTGAAAGAGTCCACCCACCACCTCCTGAAAAAGATCCCAAAATGAAACTCACCAGAATATTATAGCCAAATTCCAGAACTCCTAGCAAAAGGAGAAAATACTTCAAGCAACTAAAAAAACAATTAAAAAATAATGGAGCCACAGACACGAAACACAAGATTTAGCAGCTTCTATATTAAAAGATCAGAGGTCTTGGAATATGATATTCCAGAAGGCAAAGAAGCTAAGGTTACAACCACAAATCATTTACCCATCAAGACTGAGTATAATCCTTCAGGTGAAAAAAATAGACATTTAATTAAATAGAAGAATTTCAAGCTTCCTGATGAAAAGGCCAGGGCTGAACAGAAAATAATGACTTTCAAATACAAGACTTGAGAGAAGCATAAAAAGGCAAACAGCAAAGAGAAATCATAAGGGATTCAATAAAGTTAAACTGTTTACATTCCAACATGGGAAGATGATGCTTGTAACTCTTAAAAATGTTATCATTAGGGCAGTTAAAAGGAGTATACATAGACAGAAGGCATGGGTATAAGTTGACTATGATGGGATGATATCCAAAAAAAATAAAATTAAGAGATGCACTCAGAAAAGGGGAGAGGGAGAGGTTGGAGAGTCAAATTCTCACATAAAAGAAGCATGAGAAAGCTTTTAATTTGGAGGAGAAAATGGGAGTGGGGTGGCAGGTAATATTTGAAGCTTACTCTCACTGAAATTGGCTCGAAGAGGAAATAATATACACGCTCAGTTGGGTTTAGAAATCTATCTTACCCTATAGGAAAAGGAAGGAAGAAATAAGAGAAGGAAAGAAGGCTGACAGAAGGGAGGGCAGATTAGGGGAGATGGTGGTCAGAAGCAAAACACTTTTGAAAAGGGAAAGGGCGAAAGGAAAGAGAGAAGGATAAAGGAAAAAAGCAAGATGGAGGGAAATACAAAGTTAGTAATCAAGAAAGAAAATGTAAATAAGATGAATTCACCCATAAATTGGAAGCAAATAGCAGAATGAATTAAAAATTAGAATCCTACAATATATTGTTCACAAGAAAGACACTTGAAGTAGAGAAACAAACACAGAGTAAAGTAAGGGTCTGGAGCAGAATCTATTATGCTTCATCTAAAAATCAGAAGTAGTAATCATGATCTCAGACAAAAAAAAAAGCAAAAATAAATTTAATTAAAAGAGATAAAGTAGGGAAATGACATTTTGCTAATATGTACCACAGAAAATAAAATAATATCGATGTTAAACATATAGGCACAAAACAGTATAGCATCCAAATTCCGAATGTAAAGTTAAATAAGTTACAGGAGGAAATAGACAGTAACTCACAGAACTAGATAAATCTAACCCTTCTCACCCCCCCCCCAAAAATAAAAGAAAGGTAAAAGAGGCTGGGTATTGGGAAGCATGGGGAAAGTTTATACAAAGCTGAGAATTGTCACCACATGTTTTTAAAAAGTTGACTGCTCTGTAAGGGGATAATAATAGAATCCATCTCCTAGGGTTGTTGTGAGGATCACACAATTGTAAAGTGCTTGGCATAAGGCAAACACTATATGAATGTTAATTTTTTTATTATCTCTTTTAATTAGATGTAATTGTTTCATACTTGATAACTTTATATGGGTTTTCAGATGTTTGGGTTTTCAGATGTTATTGGTATACAATAGCAATGTTGAGATGAATGATTTCCTGTATAAGATAATTTGGAAGCACATTCACCTGGACTGGTAATGGGTTTGTTTCAAACTTTAAATATATAAATACATAATATTGTTTATGGTATTGTTATGCTTCTAAATTTTCCTATATTGTGTAATTTGGTAAACAGTTGTATCAGTGATGTTGTTAGAAAAGAAATATTCTTATAATCTAGATGTTGTTAAAATAATTGTACTGTTTAAAAAAAAAGAATGAATGGATTAGGAAGCTCTTAGGTCATTCTATCAGCCCTGCTGACTATGTGTTGTGATGTTCTGAAGTACTGTAATTTAAGAAATTATAAACTTTCAAATTTTGTCTATATTTAAAAGGAAGTTTCACCTAAAATTATTTGGCCATCACTTATGAAAATTATGAGATTGTTAGCTAAGTTATTTGGAGTTATTGTCTTAATCAAGTATTTACACAGGTATCTTAAAAAGGAAAACTGGAAATCATACAAAGAAAAGACCTTGTAAAATCTCTTTTGTAAATCTAGAAGGATTCTTAGAATCATCTAGCCATAAATTCTTAACAACTCTGTGCAAGAGTTTTCTGTGTTGTGGAATTCCTACTGAGTAAATGGGAATTCTTGCACAAAATGGAGGTGTCATTTTCAATCCTGCTTATAATATAGAGTGAGTTTCATGTAGTAATATATGTGTTAATTTGGATAGCAATTGGCCAGTGCTGTTTTTCTAGGGGTTTAAGTGAACTATCACATATTCACTATCTATGTGGGATTCCAGAATGCAAATATTTTCTTGATTTCTAGTCATATATTTAAAACCAAAGGGAAGAAAAAGATATTGAGTAAATTTTTAAAGGCCTGATAAACTTTGTTATTGTGATAAGGCTAATTTAATTAGGTATATTGGGGGTTTTTTCTGGCTTAGAAAATTGGAAATTGAGGGGATGCCCATCAAGTGGGGAATGGCTAAACAAGTTGGAGTATGTGAGTGTTATGGAATACTAAAGTGTTATAAGAAATGATGAGTAGAATGCTTTCAGAAAAACCTAGAAAGA